ATTTAAATAATATATCTAATTATACTAAAGATTAATAAAAAAATTATTTTAAAATCATTTCCTTTTTCCACGCAAAGTTCAAAGTCAACGAGGCTACTAAGACCGTTGGCTGTAGGGGCCGGCTAGCCCAAGAATTCGTGCAACTGGTCGAGTAAAAAAATATTAATTAATTCACGAGAAAAAAAAATATGCTTATGCGTCTAATTTCAAAAAAAAAAATTATATTATTCTAATAACATATTATAAGTAAAAATAAAAAAGTTCTCTTTACGTGTGTGTATATATATATATATTCGGTCAACAAACATTTTTCTATATTTGATCCAACATGAACATGAGATACAATATAAACACCAAAAAGGTGCAGATCTTCACCGACAGGAGGAGTATGAGAAACCATGCCTTATCTCAATTTTTATTCAATTTATTTTTTTCTTTCTATGGAAAAAGACTACATATAAAATAATAATATTTTTTTAAGTAATGTGAAAACTTTTGGCTACCTAAAACATTGACTAAAATGCAAAAGTTTGATGCCATTTCTTACAACCCATGTGCAACTCCATGCCGCTGTCACTTTACTATTAGCCTGCTACTGTATTGTCATGTTGCAACATCATTTAGCAGCTCCCATTTCATTGCATTTGCATTTTACTTTCCTTTCATTCGCAGCTTTCATGCTATAGCCCCAATAGAAATTTTACAAAATAGCAATGTTGTTAAAACAAAACATGCATAAACTTTTGGGAATTTAGATTTTAGTATTGTCAACAAGTGACAATTTGTATTTTGTTCTTTTTCATAGGTGTAGTTTATTTATATCAATAAGAATTTTCTTCTTCACTAGAGAAACTCAAACTAATGGTAATCGTTCATGGTTTGAGTGCATTCATCTCCGTTGAGTACAGATAATTAAAGGGTCTAAGAGGTGGCATGATCTTCATTTCTCCATCTAGTATCTTCACCACTGCACTCATTGGGGGCCTTACCTCCAATGAGTCTTGAAGACACCATAATGCCATCACAGCTTCTAAATGGCCTCTACATATATATTCTTTACCCGATCCATTAACGCAATTTCTTGGGGCTAAATGGCCTCTACATATATATCATAGTTCCAACTTCGAACTTCTAAGTGAGGATTAAGGGTGAGCATGGGTAAATATGAGTCAAGTATTTGCTCATATTTGTACTTGACTTAAACAGTAACAAGTACAAAATTTTAAGACTTAATATTTACTTGAATATTGAAAATTTATATAAATTATTTAATTTACTAGGTACAAGTATACCCACAAATATATTTGTTAAATTTTACGCTAAAAATACATAAATTAAAATACAAATTCATACATATAATATAAATTTATATATAAAACAAAATGTGTGAGTGTATACACTCACACATACACAAATTTATATATATAATAAAAAAAAATCCACTACTAGAAAACATAGTTTTATGTATTAATAAATTACCAAGATTTTATATTAATATAATATGTAAAATTTATGTATTAATAAATTTTTATTTTAGTATTTATTATTTTTAATTTACTTAATTTTTTTATTTGATGCCAAGTTATATTATAAAATTATATTGCAAAATAGTATGATTATAAATTATATGCATTTTAAGGAGTTAATGCCATGGGTCACTAAACTTGCTGAATTTGAATTGCATTTTCTTGTGTTGTTGTGTGGCGGGTTGGTTATCGCACTAATAAGTGAAATGTATCTTCAGTTTTTTAATTTGAGTTTATTTTGTACTTTAAATAGATACTAATCTAATCTAACGTTATAAATTTTTTTGTCAAAAAAAATTTGCTGAATTTGAATTGAACTTTCATCCATTGCCTATTTTAAAAAAAAACGAAGAAAATTGAATTGAACTTTCACCACGGGATATGTACACGCCGTCTCATGAATCATAAGACTAGTCAACTATTCTAGTTCAACTCAACGAGATGGCGGGACAACTTTGACATATCAAACACAAGTCATTGCAGGCCAGAAATCGATGTGCACAAAACTTCTACACGGCAAGACAAAAACATAAAAAGGAAAATGATTACATATCTGACTTTTCGTAAAGCTAAAATTCTGAAGGTAATATCCAAGGGCATACTTCTTTATCAACAAATATAACAATGGGTGGTTTGTCTCGCGGCATGCTTAAGGACCTTAACCTTTG